CTTAAATTTTGTTGAAGAACAGTAATTCAATTTTAACTCAAACTTTGTACAAGATTAATAATTTAATTTAGGTATACATTTTGTTTGAAAATAAACAAACTTTAACTTCTTTGAGGCCAAACAAAATTTAATTTGTTTAAAGACAAACAGTATTAAATTTGTTAAAAAATAAGCAAAATTTAATTTGTCTGAAAACAAACAAACTTTAATTTGTTAAAAAATAAGCAAAATTTAATTTCATTGAAAACAGACAAAATTTAATTTGTCTGAAAACAAACAAAATTTAATTTGTTTGAAAACAAACAAAATTTAATTTGTTCGAAAATGAACAGAATTTAACTTGTTAAAAAACAAACAAAATTTAACATGCTAAAAAACAAACAAAATTCAATTTGTTAGAGGAAGACAATTTTCCAAAAAAGTAGTAGAAGAAGAAGAGAGTCGAATAGATCGGCAATTATGTCGCGGGACATTGATTTAAACACCGTTCGTAGAACAAGAGCCACATTGCAAGATGTAATTTCGTCGAATTCTCGATCATCCTCTCGACTTTGTATAAGTTCCGTGAAAGACAAACACCAAGCGTACAAAGAGAGAACAATTATCAGTCAACGGTGCTTCGAAAAGTTTCCATTTGAGGCAAGTTTCACGAAGATCCGTTACGAAACGACAGCCAAGAAAGGAATCTCGTTGTATCTGGCGAAGAATCGCTAGGGAAACTTCAATCAACCCGTTTTCATGATTCGCCGCTCTTTCAAAAACATTCGAGAAGTTTCCAAATACGAGAAACAGAGAACACACTCAACTGTCGAAGCTTTATTTACGTCGAGAGATGAGCACGCGCTGTAATTCTTTCTCCTTGTACGAATGATGAAACGACCCTCGTTGCAGCGTTGACGGATATATTCGTTCGAAATTTCGGATACGTTTCTTATTTCTTATGTTTTTATGGTTACTTAACCGGGGTTTATTGTCTATTATTGTCGCTATGAATTTTTCACTGTTTTATTAAGATTTGTATGAGTGAAAAGTTTGGTATACATTTGGTGAATGAAATACTTGTGAACTTGTGTGTGGTGTTATGGCGAGTAGAAATTTCGACGCGTGGAATTATGGCGGGTAGAAATTTCAGCGCGTGGAAATACGGCGCGTAGAATTATGGCGCGTAGGAATTTCAACGCGTGGAATTATGGCGCGTAGAAATTTCAGCGCGTGGAAATACGGCGCGTAGAATTATGGCGCGTAGGAATTTCAACGCGTGGAATTATGGCGCGTAGAAATTTTAGCGCGTGGAAATACGACGCATAGAATTATGGCGCGTGGAACTATGGCGCGTAGAAATTTCGACGCGCGGAATTATGGCGCGTAGAAATTTCAGCGCGTAGAATTATGGCGCGTGGAAATACAGCGCTTGGAATTATGGCGCGTGAAAATTACGGTGTGTGATATTAGGGCGCGTGGAATTATGGCGCGTGGAATTATGGCACGTGAAAATTACGGTGTGTGGTATTATGGCGCGTAGGAATTTTCACGCGTGGAATTATGGCGCGTAGAAATTTCAGCGCGTAGAATTATGGCGCGTGGAAATACAGCGCTTGGAATTATGGCGCGTGAAAATTACGGTGTGTGATATTAGGGCGCGTGGAATTATGGCGCGTGGAAATACGTCGCGTGGAACTGTGGCACGTAGAAATTTCAGCGCGTGGAAATACGGCGCGTAGAATTATAGCGCTTGGAATTATGACGCGTGAAAATTACGGTGTGTGGAATTATGACGCGTAGAAATACAACGCGTGGAATTACAGTGCGTGGAAATTACGGAGCGTAGAATTATGTCGCGTGGAAATTACGGAGTGAAAAATTATATTTCTTAGTAATTCAAAAACGGAGCTTCAAACCCCATATTTACAAAGGGAAATCTTATTCAGAATCAGCCACCCCCCATTTAAGGAACCTACACTAATTGTGAGACACCCTGTATAAATAAGGGCGATGTTCCAACAAAGAATCAACTGCTTTTCAAAAAGAAAATATCCTCAGTTAAGGACGTATGTTGCAGAATAAAATTATTTCATAATTTCATTTCATATCAAAAAGAAAAGCTCCTCGGTTAAAAGGAAATACAATTAAATTCTTTCATACAAATTTATTTATTATTAATCTTAAAATTCTATTTGACTCAGACTTCCCGTACTCATTTGATTTACATTTGAAAATTTTAAACACTGAACCACGTTCGCCGGAATAAAATTATGTGGACTTCGGAAGAGATTATCTATTCATGAAAAGTACATTCAAAATACGCGAGCTTATTACAGGTAATATTACGGATTCGTCTTTCAGAGTCTCTGTCATTTTGACATTATTTAATACCTTTTTTTATGCAGTCTAATTTTGGTATAATTTCGATTCGATTTTTTTGTGAGTCGTAACATGCTGGACATTTTATAATGTGGCTTTGGAAGATGAAAGTTGTTGGAGCACAAAGATTTAAATTATCTCATTCATTTTATGGTGACCTTAAAATGTAGTATATTCTGTATTGTAAATTATTGATTTTTTTATGTCTTTATAAGTAATGTTGTTAATTTTGTTTTTTAAAATTTATTGTACTTTTTTATATTTAAAAATGACTAATATTTTAGTCATTTTTATAATATTTTAGTTATTACTATTTAATAACATATGATGTTTAATTAGTCATCATTCTGTTTGCAGTTCAGAAAATTATCGACTTAAATTTGAAGTTACAAGAACAAATTTTGCACCCCATTTTACATCCCCAATAATTAAAGCAACTTTGCTGTTTTGTCACAGTCTAACAACCAATTTTAACTTCCACCAATTTCTACTAATCTGAACTTCTATTAATTTCCATTTTGTCACACACGAATGTAACAATAAACACAACAATGTAAATATAAAAATAAAATTTCAATGCAATAAAAATTTCTCAATTGAAATAATCAACTCTTCCAAACAATTACAAGGCAACATATTCGAATTACGTTTATCTTTGCCTCAATTGATAAGCAACAAAACGCAATTAATAGAGGGAGTAGATAGGCTATAAAACGCGTTCATGTATTCTGAGATGAAACTGTCTAGCTATCTTAACTGTGAATGTCCAAGCGTTTCAATCTGAACGTCCAAGCAATTTGCATGCCACTTCTGGGAACGTAGGAAGTTGTGCTCCACTTCAGTGACTACCACGAATTACCGAGGAAACGTGGTTCTAACAAATAAAGCAATTAGAATTTATTAGTATCACACGTTCTACAGCTTCTGCGACAAACTACTTCCTACCAGCGTACTAGAATATAATACTCGCTTAATTTGTTTTAGGGCAATTCATTTATCAAATTCGTGCCAGAGATTCATCAAGTTGAAAATGGAGTTCTGAATAACGTGCAAAGTTTTCTTCGTTATGGATGGTGTTTGTTGAGAATTTTTGAGATTCTGCTTTTTATTGTATAATTAAGGACAGTATAATTATTTGGGGATTTAAATATATTAGAGAATTAGGTTTGAAAATTTTTAAGATTTAATTTGTAAGGTTATGGAACTTTAAGGTAGGAAATTTAGAAGGTTGGAAAGATAATATGGAATTTTTTAATTCTCAAATTTACTGATTTTTTACTTATTCAATTTTCAAGTTTCAAAATTTTTATTTAGTAGATTTTCGAGTTTGGGAATTGTATTTAGTAGAATTTCGAATTTAGAAATTTTGTATTTATTGAATTTTCAAATTTTCTCATTTTTTACTTACTCAATTTTCAAGTTTCAAAATTTTTATTTAGTAGATTTTCAAGTTCGGAAATTTTGTATTTATTAAATTTTCAAATTTACTCATTTTTTACTTACTCAATTTTCAAGTTTCAAAATTTTTATTTAGTAGATTTTCAAGTTCGGAAATTTTGTATTTATTAAATTTTCAAATTTACTGATTTTTTACTTATTCAATTTTCAAGTCTCAAAATTTTTATTTAGTAGATTTTCGAGTTTGGGAATTTTGTATTTAGTAGAATTTCGAATTTAGAAATTTTGTATTTATTAAATTTTCAAATTTACTCATTTTTTACTTACTCAATTTTCAAGTCTCAAAATTTTAATTTATTAGATATTTAGTAGATTTTCGAGTTTGGGAATTTTGTATTTAGTAGAATTTCGAATTTAGAAATTTTGTATTTATTAAATTTTCAAATTTACTCATTTTTTACTTATTCAATTTTCAAGTCTCAAAATTTTAATTTATTAGATTTTCAAGTTTGGAAATTTTTTATTTATTAAATTTTCGAACTCGCTGCTCCTGACTTAGCTCTACTTACGGGGGATAATACTTTAGAATCTTAAACAATTACAAAATTTTTCTTTTCTATAAAATGTTAGTGTAACATCTTAAAAATATTGTCTCAAATTTTTAAAGTGAAATACTACGTTCTTAAAATTGGCGTGACTGATAACTTAAGAACTAGTTTATCAATCGCGCTCAAATGTTTTGCACATATCCATGACAATACTATCTAACATATGAACCTAAATGTATGAAATAAATCGAACATTAAAGTCCTTTTTATTGCAAAGCATTGCAAAAATTTTCAATAAAATTCAAAGTTTTTCTTTAAAAGCGTGCCATTTCTTCAATTTTACATATTTTGCACATTTCTGAGGTTCATCTACTAACTGTGAATGTTAGTTTTCGAAACATTGTCTGCAAACTTGCTTCGGACCAATATATCTTCCGCTAGAACCCACGCCGATTCACGAGACGCGCCAAAACACTTCCAGAAATTATTGTCATAATTCCGGCATTTTTAAATATTTTGCAAAACAGAAAATATTCTGTAACAGGCAATAGTTATACTAAATTATACCTGAAATTTCGAAAATGCAAAACAAAGGTGTCCTATAAAAAAAAAATTCACGAATATCAGCTTATTTTCATCTGTCTAAAGGTATTACCCCCCTTAACCTACAAAAGAAATAAAAATGTTACTCACATTGCACGTCCAACAGTATGCTCGCGTTGACTGGCATCGGCAAAGTGACGTGACGCGCGACACAAGTGATGGTGGCGTTATGATGTCCCCTAAGGACTGTAAGGTGAGCTCCGCTGTGTCGGTCAGATGTCGAGGGCAACACGGTCAAATTGCCCGGTAGTTGTTCTGGACCGTCCAAAGTGGCTTGAGACAAAGTCATTTCCCATGCTAAATCGGGTGGTGGGTTTCCACCCTCGGCGGCACACTGGAGGGTCAACTCCGACCCCTCTTTCACCGGCACAAACTGGTTTCCAGGATCCAACCTTCGGCCATCTATCAGAAGATACGTCCCCCGGGGCGCATCTGCAACAAATCCGACCATCCGCTAAGTTCTCCCGATTGCTGACGCTGTAACGATGAAAAATCTTGTCGAATATATTCCGCGCGGATCGACTTTCTGGTGTAATCATTGGCGTCGATGGGATTCTTTTGTGGGGTAGACACGGTAACATAGGTTTAGGGACGTTAAATAATGTTGGACGGTAGGTGTCATTCGGTGACTCATGAAATTTGGGAATTTGAATTTGAATTAGGGATTTGAGAATTGAAAAATTGGGAGTAACTGAATTTGAATGTTTCGAATGACGGAGTATTAAGAAACTTGTGAAATTGGGAATAGAAAACTATGGACTTGTATAATTGAATAATTGAGTAGTTGAATGATTGAATAATTGAGTGAGTGAATAATTGAGTGATTGAGTAGTTGAGTGATTGAGTAATTGAATGATTGAGTAATTGAATTATTGAGTAATTGAATGATTGAGTAATTGAATGATTGAGTAGTTGAATGATTGAGTAATTGCATGATTGAGTAATTGAATGCTTGAATAATCGAATGATTGAGTAATCGAATGATCGAGTAATTGAATAATTGAGTAATTGAACGCTTGAGTAATTGAATGATTGAATAATTGAGTGATTGAATAATTGAATGATTGAGTAGTTGAATGATTGAGTAATTGCATGATTGAGTAATTGAATGCTTGAATAATCGAATGATTGAGTAATCGAATGATTGAGTAATTGAGTAATTGAGTAATTGAATGATTGAGTAATTGAGTAATTGAGTGATTGAATAATTCAGTAATTGAGTAATTGAGTAATTGAGTAATTGAATAATTGAGTAATTGAGTAACTGCATAATTGAATAATTGAATAATTGTACAAAAAATATCTAAACTAAATTTTTCCTCTAAGCAAAGCAAAGTTATTTCGATCCCCACCAAGTTACGCCAATGTGAACACTCTTTTATAAACGTCGTCGTAAACTTATTTGCAGAGGGAGAATAAAAAGTAGCTACATGAAAAAATACAGGGGTGGAACGAAATGAAGAAGGGTGGGACCGACTGTCAGAGATTTCTCGTTTTTAAAGAGTGATCGCTGAAATTTTTAACGCGATGAGCTGTCACAACGAAAAAATACTGTAATGGGGATTATGAAAGATTAAAATGTTCATCGCGTTCAGTTTTTGCTTTAATTCATAATGCTACAATGCAAATTTTTTCTTTCTTCCCGTTCTTCTTAATATTTCGATGAATTTAATCTGCTTCAATTTGTTACGTCGGATTAATATTGCAATTTTTATGACGTTCCGTGCTTGTTCGTCTCCCTTTTTCGCATTTGAATAAATTGAACTTGCACGACAGTTTTAATATTTTGTAAAATTCATGAATATTTATTGTATTCGCAAGTGTAAATATTCATTTACATTTTCTATATTTATTAATTCTAGTATTCATCTGTGGCACACGATACAAATATTTATAAATAATTTTTGTATTAATAATTAATATTTGCAAATATTCAAATGTTGGAAATATTTATAAATATTTATTGCACACAAAAATACTAATATCTGCAAATAATTGCTATATTTTTGCCAGTAAAAAATGTAATTCAAAATATAAACATTCATTTATTGATAATGGTTTTGAATCGATATTTACACCGACGCAATTTTAATTAAAATTTTCGAGGTACAAGAAAATTAAATCGCATCTATATGCAAAAAGAGAAAAATTTGAATGAAATTGTACGTCAGGGGGTTAATGAATGAACGTCTAGTTAATTCAGCGTTCCAGGGGAGAAGATAGATTGGGGCCAGTTTATAACTGGAAGATTGTATCTTCGGGAGTCTGAAAGCAACGAACGACGTTCAATCCGAGGGAAATCCAGACACACACTTTGCATACACTTTTCGCCTCAATTTTCAGTCGAAAAATCAGGAACCTGGCCCGCTGGAAAACTTCCAGATCCGTGTAATGCGATCGCGAATCGAGGAAAGGAACGGATTCTGAAGGAAAAGAAGGCTCTTGCTACGCTGCTTATATAATATATTCCCCTGCGAGCATACGCTTCTTCTTCTTCTTCTTCTTCTTCATCTTACTTTTTGACAATTCACCTACGAACTTATCTTTAACGAGCCTGCCAATCCAGTTTTCTTCTTCTTAATTTCTTCTGTATTCTTTTCATTATTCTGCACATTCTCGACTTCAATTTTTTTAGCACACAAAGTTCCTCTACGAGTTTATAAAATTGACGATCAAGAGAATTGTTAAAACTTTATGATGGTTAAAAGACGACGAATTTTTCTGAGAAAATTGTAGAAACTTGAAGATTTATGAATTTGAAGAAATTAGAAAATTTCTGCCTTTCAAACATGTGAATTTCTATGTTTATTAATTATGAAATTAATGAGTACGACCAAGAGACTTATTAAAACTTTATGATGGTCAAGAGACAACTACAATTTTTTTGAGAAATTTATAAAAACTTGAAAATTTATGAATTTCGAGATTCACGAAAATCTCAAAAATTTATGAAAATCAAGAATTTCCAAAATTTCTGCCACTTCAAATATTTGAATTTTTACATTTCTTAATTATCCTACAAGTGATCATGCTAATAAAAACATACCAGTTTAAAGTCACTCTACAAAACTTTATATTAGCCAATTTGAAGTCCATATTTTTTAATAGAACACATCTCAATAAACAGAAAACAATACGTTCATAATACAATTAAAAAAGAAAGGAATATTTATTATTCCCCAAAAATTAAATCGAACTAAATTGTCGATAATGTTTAACGATTTTAAGGAGATTCAGCGATAGTTCTCGTGTGCCTTTATGTAAGAACGATGAATTATAAAGCTCGTCTTCTCATATTCACGCAACATCGTATTTTTTCGAGTGACATATCAAACATGATGGAATTTCATAGCAAGCACGCGTACAGAATGCGCTGTCGCTATGAATTTCATGCAAACTTTATTTATATTTCCATTAGGTACCGCTATTGTTACGCTGATGTATACGTCTTCATTAAGTGATAAATGTTACGCTTTTTCGAGGATACCGCATAAATTAATTCAGAAATGCTCATGGAGGAAAATTAAATAAAGCTTGAGGCATTCATTTTTGAAATGTTATCTCAACGAGCTGAGAAATGTATATTTTCGTTTCATCAGGAAATTCTGTAATTTAGGTAAAAATTGTAAATACATCGCGAAATTGCAGGGTAACTGACAGTTTTAGTGTTTCGAATTATAAGAATGGGAAAATGAAATATGGAAAATTTTAAAGTGGATGAAATTAATGAGTGTGCATTCAGGAAATATAAAATGGAAAAATTGAAACATTGAACAATCAAAGAATTGAGAAGTTGAAGATTGGAAAAATTGAAACATTGAACAATCAAAAAATTGAGAAGTTGCAGATTGGAAAAATTGAACAATTGAACCATTAAAAAATTGAAAGTGGAGGAATTGAAGAATTGAAAAATGGAGAAATTGAGAAATTGAGAAATTGAAAAATTGAGAAACTGAAAAATTAAGAAATTGAAAAATTGGAAAATTGGAAAATTGGAAAATTGAAAAATTGAAGAATTGGAAATTGAAAAATTGGAAAATTGGAAAATTGAAAAATTGAAGAATTGAAAAATGGGAAAATTGGAGCATTGAAAAATTGAACCATTAAAAAATTGAAAGTGGAAGAATTGAAGAATTGCAGAATTGAAGAATTGAAAAATTGAGAAATTGCGAAACTGAAAAATTAAGAAATTGAAATATTGGAAAATTGGAAAACTGAATAATTGGAGAATTGAAAAATGGGAAAATTGAAAAATTGAAAAATTGAAAAATTGAAAAATTGAAAAATTGAAAAACTAAAAAACTGAAAAATTGAAGAACTAAAAAATTGAAAAGCTCTACCAGTAACTCGTAAGTCATAAAAATCCCCAAAAACGAATTGAAAATCTCTAGATTCGGCAATCTATACTTTCCCCAAAACGTTTCGTAATTTTATGTTAATTCAACTCGACGGTTTTAATTCGCATTCATGTCGTTCGTTCGGACTTGCATTACAAAAACAACACAGTGATTTCATCGAGAGCCAATTCCGTGGATGAAATTTGAAACAAAGCTCGGGGATTTATCGAGCGATCGAAAGCACTTTTTTTCAGTTGGTTGAATGAAACGCGGAACTTTGACGAGACCCGTTTATTCAGTGAAAATTTCGACGAAATTGCAGACAGAAAACGCGAATGAGAATACCACGAGAATTCTTGTGTTTCAATCGTGTCGTAGCATTTGTTTTGTATTTCGTACTTTTCAAACGAACGGATCCGTAAATAATGAACTGTTTCGCTCTCCATACATCTCATTGGAAACAGAGATTGAATCCACGGAGTATAATTGATAAAAGTTCTTGTTTTTCCCCGTTGCAGCAGGAATATTTCTTAGAATTTCGTTTCTGCTTCGTTATATTTGATTTATTGCCTGGCTAACGGGCCCGAACGATTTATGATTGAGTTGTACTACTGAAATATTGCATCACGCGCAGACTACGCTTCGATACAGACTAGTTTCAAACTCCAATATCCTATAATTCTATCGAAATCATTAGAGGAAATATATTACAGACTAATTTCGTTCATCTAATGAGCTCGCTTGACAAATTCCTCGAAAAATTATCTTCCCAACCCGACGAAGAATACCGGTAAACACTAATTAAACTTTGACCGTACCGTTTAAACAAGTTACGACGAAACGAATTTTCAGCGAAACGAAATAAAATACGCGATGCGATTTAAATACGAATTGAACTTCCGATCCTGTTTAAAAACCTGCACGCTGCGAGGAGTTGTAAAGGGTCGAGGTAAAATTTGATTTCAATGCTTGATAAGCGAACTGAAATCACGTAAATCGCTGTTTCCGTTGCGTTTTATTGCATTAAATTAAAACTCGTGACAGAGATTGCAATTTCGATGGCCCGAAAAATCTGCAGACCCTCCAGCTTTGGTA